GTTCAATCTCTGATATGGAAAAAAAAAAAAACATAACATACCCTTCACTAAAGTGAGGGACAATGTCCAAAAGCTACAAAACCAAAATTCTACAGGGAAGTGCCAACCAACGTGCAGTAACCTTCCTCATACCCCCAGTTCCTCTTCCAACTTTCTTCTTCTTTTTGTAGGTTAAATGATGGCTGCACTTTTGTATTTCGTTTTCATTCTACCAATTTCCATTCAAATTCTTCTCTACTTGCCTACGTCCAGATTCAAAGATTTCATGAAAATAGTAACAGCATAGTTATAGCGAAGCAGAGCAACCTCTGTTGAGTATTTATTGTGAGCCATAAAATCTGCTAAACATTTCCATAAATTAACTCATTCAATCTTTAAAACAGCCTTATGAGATTGGTCTGACAAGCCATATTGTTTCCTCTACAGAAAATCTAGAGCAAGACAACAACAAAAAAAATTCCCTAACTTTATACAGTATAATAATTGCAACCTGATATGAATACTGACGGCAAAGTTTCCTTCATGTCTAAGTCAGAATTCACTGAACTTAACCGATGTCATTCTCTCTCCTTTGTTCACATTTAGAACTGTGTTGTTGTTACCAAGTTTTCATCCTATTCATCACTTGTTTATATGTCTAGTTCTGGAGAGGGCGGTGTGTTTGGAAGGAACCTGTATTGTTGTCCTCAAGCCTCGGGTCAGAACTGACTGATCTCCGGTACACTTGTGTGATAATGAAAATATCACTGGCCTCTCTAAAGGATGATGGTAAATCACATAGATATTTTCAATTGCTTAGTGAAAGAAAAAACAATTCTACACAGTGCTTATTTAAGCAGATGAAAGCTAGGGAAATGATTTAGCACAATGTAATGACACTATTATGAAAAATCCTCAAGAACTCCCTCAAAAACAGGGGCATACAACATCAGAGTAATTCTCAGTGGTTTTGGAAGTTTCTACCTCCTGATTGGAAAGCCAAGTTTCTCCTTTCCATCACATGAATTCCAGTATAAGACAAATGCACGCCCAACACGGAACTGTTTGAGCTGTCCTATCATTAGACACAAAGTTTAATCTCCAAAGATAATCCTGAAAGAAGTCATTTTAGCAACTTCTAGTAATAGTAGAAATAGATAAGTTAGGTCTAGAATTGCAAATTCAAGTATTGCAATATTTTCATTTCATATCTTCTTTTGAAAAGTATTTCTTTAAACATTTACACAGAATGGCATGATTTTTCCATGAACAAAAAGTCCAGATGGAGTCACATGTGCAGTGGACCTGCTCTGCCCAGAGAGTGGGGGTAAGCCTCCTCTACTAGACTATTTCAGGCGGATGAACACAAAACTGTTCTCCACATCCAATTTATGTCCATCAATATTTTGTCTGTGTGACCCTAGGCATGGTGACACATGTCTCCAGCCCCAAGCACAGAGGAGACTAAACCAGGAAGGTAGTGGGCTTGAGATCATCCAGGAAACACGGTGAAACTTTGCCTCAACAACAGCAAAAACAAGCAAATAAGATTGTGCACTTTTTGTGTGTTGGCTCTGATTCTCATCCTTTCTCATACTTGAATCTGAGCAACAAACCCAACAGATAGAGTCTGAACCTCCAAAAATAGATGCTGAAGCACACATGTGGTCCCACCTCTGAGAGACCTCCAAGTGCGTCCCACTGGGAGGACCATCACACACCATCTGCTCAAAGTTCTTGTTTGATGGAAAAGCACAGAAGTCAGTAGCCCTGCACTCCTCCCTTCCCAGTCTCTCTCCCTATTAAGTCATATAAAATTAAACAACCCAAAGACTTCAAGTGGATCTCCACAGCGTAAAGGAACAGAGGTTCAGCAGCCTGAAGCACAAGCCTCCGTTAGCTCTCCCCGGGTCCCTTTTCACCAAGAACTTCTAAAGAATTTCCTACCCTGCCAAATTCCTTTCAGTACCTACACTACTCCTTTCTGAAGTGAATTACTGGCTGCTCTGAAATTGCAATTTAATACTTCCACAAAATGAGGCTATTGAAAAAGTACACTCACTCTACTCTGAAGCTATTAAACCAACACATCTGTTTGCTTTCTTGGACCACATTTATTTGTGAAGAGGTTGAATGGGTCTGTATATTAGCTACATTATTCATATCATTAACTTCAACTTCTTGAATTTGTATGTACTTTCTAAACAAGAGAGACAATACGCCTGGAAACTAAACAGTTCTTAAGGTTTCTATGGTGTTTACCAGAAAAAAGGAAGAAAAAATGGTTATTATTAAAGGTGAACATTTAGCTTTGAAGGGTAAGGGATAAAGCAACTTCACTGAGGAAGGAATTGACTCTGTTCATTCAGATGAAATTATGGGATTACTTTGTATTTGTATGTTTAAAGTTGCTACAGAATAGGGAGGGAGGAGGAGCAAAGAGAACACAATGCAAAAATTTCTCTTTAAAAGGCAGAAATACCTTCAACTTTTATCTTTGCAACTAAAATAATGACTATGTCTCTCTCACTGCAGCACTGGCTTCGGCAAAGGCATTGCTTTACTTTAAATCAGAAATGATCTGTGCAACTACTGGAAAAATGGCAAAGTAGTAAGGGGAGAAGGAGTTGAAACTGACACAATGTTGCACCAAGGGTCTCTGCCTCACTTTCTAAAACTTTAAATGTCTAAAGCTGTGACATTTCCCAAAGTGTGCAGGAAAAATGGACATTTCCCAACCTCTGCTGCTGCCTGCAAATCTTGAGCATGGGAGACACCATCTGCTCCACACAGGACCTCTGACTAAGGAAGTAAGTTAACAGAAGTTCTTGGCTGGCAAACCCTCATCACAGGTGGCTGGGGCTGAGCTACACCTTTTTCCTAGCAGGGCAAGAAGCTCATACTACCTTGTGCAACTGTTTCCACAAAACTGTGCAACTTGCTCTGTAACCTGGACATCACTCGCGTGCCTGAGAGAACGTTAAATGTCACAGAAAGCAAGGCCCTCTGCTAACCTCCTCTGAAACATATTCTCTTCCTGCAAAGTGGCATATTGATAGTACTACATTCATTTTCAATCTGCTCAGTCACAAGGTAATCTGAGTATATAGCATAATGAATTACTACAGAGTAATCACTTCATAGATTTTCATAGGTGGAAGAAAATTTTATATTTTATCAAATTCATCATGCTTGCTGGGGAGATGGCTCAGTAGAATAAGCGCTTGCCTGGCAAGCGTAGGGCCCTGAGTTCAATCCCCAGTACCGCAAAAAAAAAAAAAAAAGGAAGTCACATCATGCTTTTTCTGATAAACTTAAAGAGCAGTCATAGTTTTCTTATACAAATAACATTGCATAACTTTCAGAAACAGAGAGAAGTGGGATTCACCATTTCAATTTTGTAGGAAATATATTGATTTTTGTTAAATAAATTTGTGTTAAAATTAACACTTTCAAAAATAAGTAAAAATGGCTTTTATAGTATCTCACTAAGAAAACCTTGCAGAATAAAGATTGTAAAACCTCCAGCACTTAAATTACAGCATCTTTTGAAAGCAAATATACTTTGCGAACTTCAGAGACTTTCAGTATCTCTAAAGTCACTCTAGTTTTTGTTTTCATTGCTTAAATACTTATTGTTACGTGGGCATGTTGACTGCCATCTCACCGGTATACATCTTGATTTTTTTTTCTTGAAGATTCCATATGTAAGTAATAAAGCAGAGCACGAGAGTGTAAGGCAAGAATCCAAGAACACCTGTGAGGCATAATCTGCAGCAGTGAGCACAGAGCTCCCCAGGTCTGCTTAGGAGGGCTCTGCTCGGAACCAGTTAAGCTAAAAATGAGAAGCCCTGGATTCCTTGTGAACTTTCTGCTTTTGTGAAACAAAAGTGACAAGGCAGTCTTACAGTAAATAAAACTCACATTCTCTTTTAGTCTGGCAAAGTTCTGTGCTCCTTGGACAAGAGAAGCCTAAATCCATCACTCTGGCTAAATGAACATGCCCCTAAACAAATAGGAAAGTGAGAAAGGGACTGAAGAAGGTTGTTCTCCAAGTTTTGAAGAGGTAATAAGTTTTATCCCTGTTTCCATTTCAGGATTGCATATCGCTCTATATCTCGCCTTTATTTTGCCTTCAGATTGCAACTAAACAATGTTTCTATTCATTTAGAGTTGAAAGCATCCCCATCCTGCGTGGGTTATTTTATTTTCTAGTAGCCAAGGGAAAGAAGTTGCTGCCAGCGGGATGCTAAGGTCATGCCGAATAAAGACAGCCGGGCAATGAAACAGTCCACTCTTGTGGAGGAAGAAAGCAAAGCCATCACCAACTTTGGGACTTGATCAACGGCACCAAGTCACAGAACTCTTCTCAATCCCTGCATTTTTAACTCTCCACTGAAAATAGCTCCTCTGTACCCGGTGCTTGGAGTCGCATCTCTGGCCAGCAAGCAAGCACAGTACCTAATTGTCTGGGGCGAGGGGCTCTGCAGCAGCTCTGGGTGTCCTCTAACTTCTAACCTAGTCACGACGCAGCCAGATGGAAACACCTAGCGCGGCACCCACTCGAGCCATCAAACAAGCCACTGCAGGCGTCTGGGAACTTTCGAGCAAGTCCTTAGCTCCTTCTAGCATCTTCCGTGCTCTCTGGTTCGCGGTAGCTTAAAACCAGGAACCTGAGGGGAGGCGGGGAGCTCTGTGCCTAGGAAAACGGCTCCGAGGGACAGACACTGCCTAGTGAGAGTTCCCTGTTTCTGTCTGTACTTCCTCCCTTATTTTGTTCTGTAACAGCGTGCTTTCTGTCCACTTCTTCTAGGGCTGCAAGGGGGAAATGTCTTCTTTGCCTTCTCCAAGGGAGCTCTTGCCCCTTCCCGGAGGCATGCCTCCACTTTCTTTCTCCACGGAACTGGTTTCCCCAGAGGCTGTGCTAGCCTAGCAGCCCTGACCCCAGTGACTGGGCCACCTCCTTCCTGGCCCCGAGCCCTCTCGCGGACCCTCAAGGGTCACTCTGCTCCCAGACTCACCTGGTGCCGAGGACCAGCGCCGGGAGCAGAGGCAGCAAGTAGCGCGCGGGGCTGAATTTCATGCTGTCGCCGCCGGGACCCCCTGCCCCCTCTGCCTCGCTCCGCTCCGGTTCCTGTCGCGCCTCGGTGACCAGCGGTGTCCCAGGCAGCACTAACCCTGTCCGGAGGAGCCGGACCCACGGAGCGCGATCTGGGGCGGCGTTGGCTGGCGCGGGATTAGCTCGGGTGATGTCACCGCGATGTCCCTGGCGGGCGGGGCTGGGCGGGGTCCACCGGCGGCGGTCACCGTGCGGGGGCCAGGGCGCTGCACCCCGTAGAGGAGCTCAGAGCCCGGGGCAGGCGCACCCCGCAGGCGATGCACCCCGATTCTGGGCCGCGTGGCGCCGAGCGCTCTCGGGGAACATCGTCCGCATCAGTGCCCAGGACCGGCGCTAGATGCCGGCCACCAAGGGCTGTCCCAGAGCGCGCAGCCGGACGCCCGGCTCCTGAGCCCTCCGATCGTCAGCTCTGAGGCCGCAGCCCTGGCGAACTGGCTTGAGCTGGCGCCCCACGCCGTGCACCTGAGAGCCCGGTTCCGCAGGTGAGGCCAGAGAGAGGAGGACCCCGAAACGCAGCCCAGGGCAGCGCGGGAGCCGGGAGCTGCGGAGGGCGACGAGGCGGGCTCGGGGAGGCGTTTGCTTTCCTGTAGTTTCCAAATGTTTTAGGATGAGCGCCGGGTGTTTCATAGGCGTCACTGAGGAAATGTGAATTAGCAAAAATGAAAGAGCGAGACTCGCATGTGAAATGCCATTGTGTGGAAGCAGATTGTAGAAAACGGGATCTTGGCGTTCACGGAGGAAAGTCCTGCTTCGGATCTCCACAAGGAGATATGATCACAAGCACAGGTGAGGCTCTCAGTACAGTAGCCCGGGAACTCACGGCGCATAAAATACGTCTTCCCACGTTGCTTGCTATAGCATTCTTAGAAAATAGAAATGAATATTGTCATTATCGTAGCTGTAACTAAAGGGATGGCCCTCAAGCTCTGAGCTGGGTCTTTGACAAAAGGAACTCATTCCCCTCAGTCGTGAGTAAACCCCCGGCTGCCTTGAACACCTGACCTAGCTCACCTAGGTCTTCTAGCCCAGCCTTGAGACTAAGTTGTTCTTCAGTAATACTTGATGTGTACGGGCAAAGGTCGACACATGGCCTCAATTTCCTCTCCTGGTGCTTGAATTTCACTTCCATTGGTTTAAAAATCAGAATCAAGCCATTTGCCATAAAGTTTAGCTCAAGCATCCCCTTTAATCTCATTGCTTTAAGACATTTCTAATCAAATGCATAGGTTATAATGCTTAACTTTAAAAGGATGAACATGAAAAGAACCATCTTATTCACTGTTTTGTTGCATTTCTGTATTTACAGTGATTGAAGATGACATTTATGCAGAAGTGGTTTTCTTTTTTTAAAAAATTGAATTACAAAGACATGCATAAAAGCTTCTGCAGTGACTATGAGTCTCACTGGAAATAGTATGAGTTGTGAAAGATAGGAGTAGACTTACACAAGTCAATGCACTCATGAATTGCTCGAAAGTTGACACAAAAGTTGGTCTTGCGCCTCACTGATGCAGAACTTGGACTCGAGGAAAAATAAATGCTTTGAATTGCTTCTGGAAGTATTTTACAAACAGTTGGTTTCCTGTCTACCTGTACAGTTGATAGTTTAAAATGTGTATCCAAGAAAGATGTAGAGGTATTTGGTATTTAATTTAAGGAAAAGTACATCATAAAATAAAAATCATGCACTGGATGTTGACTCTTTATGTAAGTTTACAATTATTAATATGCTGTAATCATAGGAACCAAAGTGACAGTCATGTCTAGTACTTTGCTGACCAGTGCTTAGGTTGACAGACTCAAAATGATCAAGGAACATGCACAAGGTCATTCAGGAATTTACATAGCAGAAGGAGTATTAAAATTTCATTTTCATTCCTTAACAATATGTATACTTTTGCAATGAAAAAAAAACCTTTTATACCTTTATGACAAAAGACTTTCCCCAACCTAAATTTTACTGCTTCATTAAACATACAATACAAAACAACAACTGATCTACTCTAGTTGGCAACCAAAGAGGGAAGTGCCTGAGTGAACTTTGCTTAGATTGTGTCTCAGAACTCTGTTTTGCCTCCCGATTAGACACCTACAGAGAACTACAAGGTATGGGGGCCTTTGTTAGTTCTCTACAAAGAAGAGAACAGTGCTCTAACTATGAACAATGCTGATGACTCGGGGCACACATCTCCTACGTACACTGAGCCTAAGTGAGAGTTTGGAAACTACTGAATATGTAGAAGATTAACTGTTGCTTGGGATTCAAGTATACAATTTATAACACAAGTTTTTCTTTGTGGGGAACTGGCAAGACTGTGGGTCTCCATCACCTATGCCACTCTGTCTACACCATCGTAAGGAAACTAAAACACAGAATTGATTTCATGGCTTTAGAAGACTGGTATGGGAATGAAAGAAATACAATAGAGCAGAGAGCCAACTCACTTGCCTGAAATCTCTTGTTCTATGTCAAACACCTCATAAGCTCAGCAATGTTCTTCAAAGGAATGGTGTCAGCCTGGCACAGAGCAGCATGGAAGCCCAGGCAACAACACAGAACCTTCTAGAAGTCCAGGGGCCGGGAGACAGAGTCTACTTTCTGAAACAACCTTTTGACATTTCACTCAAACAATACTAGAAACCCTTCAGCATTTTAAAATATACTTATAAGCTTGCAAAATGACCATTTTAGTATTTCAGAATAAGTTACTGCCCCCAAAGAAAGCTTATACTCTTAGGATCCTTTATCCCTCTTCCTTTTATCATTTCTCCCAAATTTTTGAAAGCACTGTTCCGATCCCTGGCTCATGATTGCCAGGATTCTTGAAACCATGGAGATTGATTAATACTCTGTGTGGTCTCATGTGATCGGTTTCTTTTGTACATTTTCCATGACTCACCTATATCATGATATCTACCTATTCCGTTCCCTTTTTGCTGAGGAGGTTTTCATTAAATACATATATTATACATGACTTGTCATTAATGACAAGCATTGCAGTTGACTTTTGGCTATTATGACCAACACTGCTATGAATATTCATGTAAATGTTTCTGTGTAAACACATTGGGTATATTTGTGAGTCATTTGAAACTTCAAATCTCTCCTCCAAAAAAGTTGCATTGGTTGGCATTCCTTCAATTAACATATGAAAGTGTCAATTTCTCTAACTCCTTGAGAACACTTAACTTAAATGTGCTCCATATTTTATTAACAATTTTAGTACTGGTTTGTATGAAGGAATATCTCATTGTAGTTTTAATTTGCCTTAGTTAATTATACAGAACATCTCTTTATGTGCCTAATGGCCATCATACATATTGAGAGATATACTAATTTAAATTATTTTCTGTTATAATTAATTTGATTCTTATTTTAAAATTTTAAAAGCTATGTAGATATTTGAGTGTAATTGCTTTTGAGATATACAGTAGCACGTCAGTTCATGGACTTTATCATTTCCATTATTCTGGTCACAAACGAATTTGAAGGAGAAGCAAATCAAAGCAGGGGTTCAGAACAGGGTCAAACCTCAGGGGAAGGCGAGTACCACTGTATATGCTTGAATGTGTTTTCTGATTTTTCACGTGTCTCTTTCCTTTATAGTATTATTTGCAATACACTTTTAATTTTCATACATACTAATTTGTCTAATATTTTTCTTACCATTCTCTTGTCATTCTAGGGCTTCAATTTATCCAATGTCATGAAGATTTTTGCCTATTCTTTTAAATCATTTTATAAGTCTTAGGATAGGATATGCCCATGGTCCTTGTAGATGCAAATTTTGCATGCTTTTAAGGTAAGGACACAAATTCACTCCTTTTATTATATGGGTATCATCTTCTGGCGTCATTTATTGAAAAGGTGATTTGTTCTCCAACTATTATTCCCTGCTTTTTCTTCCAGAATTATATTTAGCCTTTATGTTCTATGGATTTTGTTCTACTTTAATATTCCAAGCTCTGATTTTTCCCTAGAATTTTATCTTCCTTCCCCCTGTTTTAAAAACTTTTTTCTTCCAAAGTTCAACTTAGCATTTTCATGTGTTTGTTTGTTTTTACATCTACTATATAGTTTGTACATCTCAAAATTTATTTTTAGTCTACCAGTGTTTCTGAGGTCTTCCAGTGTTTCCTATAGACACCTTGAAGTCAGATGCATCTATGTTGAAACCTCTTCATCTCCCTCCCTTCATTCCTCCTTATCTATATTTCCTTGCAGATCCAGAACTCTGTCATTCAGAATACTAACATGAGAATTGTATCTTCCTTTTATTAAACTATTTTTCCGGTCTATAGACAAGCAATTTGTCCTACTATTTTACTTGCTGTGAATTTATTCAAACTTATCCCACCCCTACACTGAGCCTACTGTTTTGGCTCTTTGCACATTTATTTCTTGACCCCAAAGTGAGCCTTCTTGTAAACAGAAGTGAGTTTTCTTCAAATCTTATTCCTTCATATGAACTACCTAAAATGAAAGGTTTTTTTCCCCCTTAGGATTGTATTGTGCCATCCAGCCAGGCCACTGAGCTGCATGCCAAAACCAGAACTATAAATTGCATGTGGCCTTAAAACACCAGAGAAATTTACCTCAAATATGACATTCAACAACTGATTTTCTATAATCTTTCTTTCAATTCTGTGTTATACAATATTGTTTATACAGCTCAAAATTTAAAATGATTTACCATTGTTTTCCACTACCAGGTGTTAATAGGATTTACCATTACTGGGCACAGTAAGTGAAACCCACAAGCTCAGCAAGAGAGTTTTAGCTTGACTTATAGTTCTGGAGGATTCAGTCTCTAGCCCATTGTCTCCAGGAAAGCAGCTTGGCAGAAGAACGTAGCAAAGCAAAAGTCTTAGTTCATCCTCACCAGGAAACATTGCATGGGAAGAGTTCAAGAGTAAGTGGGGAGGTCCTAGATATAGGCTCCAAAGCAACAACTCCATGTAGCACCCAGACACCTATAGGTATTGTCCACCAATACCTGAGCAGATTCCAAAAACAGGCTTGTTGAAAATCCATCCTAACTTTCACATCCTTCCTTTGGTCAACTTCATGTTTAAGCTACAAA